AGCAGTTACTGTGAAAGTTTGATGGTCTGCAATTGTACTTGGTAGAAGTGTAGCTAATTGATTCTACCTCTGAGTATTACTCTTGCATCTTCATGCACTGACAATCTTGCCTTCCATGTTGCTTCTTTCATAATTCTCTTCAACTGTGAACGTTCACTCCAAAAAACATTGAACTTATGTGCCAAGAATCTCCATCTTGAACAACTGTTAACTTTCAATGAAGTCTTCAGATTTTTGTTCCAACAGGTAGGGTATCTCCAAAACCTGTGCATGTGCCTAGACAGGATACAAGAAAAAAAAGCGACCTAACAGACAATCAGAGATAACAAGGTGTAGAGCTGGATGAACACAGCAGGCAAAGCAGCATCAGAGGAGCAGGAAGGCTGACGTAACCCAACAGACAATCACTTCATTATCAGCATACAACCTCCTTTTCAATTGCTGCTTTTACACTAGAGTTAAATTAGCTCATCCACCTGACATTCATGCAAAAAGGTACAAACCTTTGAAAATCGTTTTGACCTGATACCCACCAAAAATGCTAACTTGTCTCTACTAATCAATGAGTGCATTTTCGGCTATTTGTCCCAAAGAAAGTTTGCTGACCGAACCAAGTCTAGCTACCAAGAAGACCGCCTCCAGCATCAAGGCCTTGGTAAGTTCATTTTGAGGATACTACTCAGTGCACAAGGCAATTTGTGAGGATCCAGCAGCACAGGCACAGATCTCGCATCCAATGTAAAAACTTTGTGTTATTTCACAGTCAGTGTGTCAGCACATCTTTCAGATACATGATCACAATATAATCATGCAACATAGCATGTATCCTGAGGACATAAGGATCATTTATGCATATTCCCCAGGATCACTTGAAGCGTGAACTATTGGAAGCATGCTGCTCTGTGTATCTTCATAACTGAATGTTAGCTCAGACACTAATGTGCCTGTGAATATAGTTAACTGTGGTAAATGCCTGTTGGATTTTTCAATACCACAACATCCTAACCTTTTCAGTCTTGATGTCCAGCAGTGTGGATCCTTTGCCCTTAAGACAGGTTGCTCAATCAAATAAATGCTGTCCAGTTGCCTGTAATCCTTTTCCCCAGAGCTGGTAATGACAGCTGTCATGCTTAGCAAATCCAGATAATAATACAGTATTTCCAACAACTCGCTATGATCTATACCCAGAAGATCTACTAATTACTCATAACTAGTTCGGGAAATTAACAAAAGGATGTTAAATAAAAAATGTTTTCTGCACTTAACAAGAATTAAAAATTATTCCAAATAGTCACCTATCTATGCTTTGAATCTACAATCTGTTGACATTCTCTTCCAGTTAAAACTCATAACTCCCTCTAAAGCTCTCCCATTCACATGCATACACAGACAGGCAAATGAACATTGGTGTTCTGGTTGGAAAGAAAAGAAAAGGAGAAGACAGGTCAGTGATCCCAGTGCATAGAGTTCACAAGGCAATCCTTTTGTTTCCCAGGACTTGCTGTTCTGTCTCTCCTCCATGCTCTTTTTACGTCTTGCAAGAGGTACAGGTGAATGATACATCACTTGCAAAGTCTGTTAGTTACTGGTTAAAGCCACAGCTTGCAGTAAACTGTGAGGGAAAATGAACAGGCTTGCTTCAGGCTTTAGGTATTTTACTGGAGAGAAAAACACACCATCTCTCTCTCCTTTGCAGTAGTCTGAAGGCTTCTGCTAATATTGTTCATGCCTACAAGTTGTTCAGTACTCGAGCCAATCAGATACTTGTTGTAAAGCTGATGGCCTTTGTGAATCACAACTGATTGCGACTTCACAAACGAGTGGCTCCTTGTTGCTGACTCATTCTCAATTTGCGTACACCTGCTGGGACAGGCCATCTTATAAACAGCCCCTCTGCTATGCCTGCCCCCACCCCTACAGCAGCAGGATCAAAGCAGCAGTGTCAGTATGACTAAAAATAAGTTGTTGAAAAGTTTAGCAATTTGTACCACAACATTTGGTTTTAAAACAGTCCTTCTCCCATTTCAGTCCACAATCAAAAATGAAATAAAATTTTAAAAATGTAGATTTTACATATTGGCAACATGATGTTGAAATTGAACTCAACTGTGCAAGCTGCTGAGTTAATAAGTTCAAGGAATGCTGATGAATGCAATGATGGCAGATTTGGATTGTCATGAGCAGTTAATGTAGGGCAAACGTGTACAGCTTCTTCAAGTGATACGTCCAATAGGAGAACAATGTCAAATGAGAACATGGACATTCCATCACTTTTGATAAGGAGGTCCTTGCGAATGTGGAGGCATTCTTCACTGTGATTGAAGAACTTGCTCAAAATTGGGTATAGCTGTTCACCAAACTATTTGGCCAGTTCGTGTTGTGCAGAACTGGTCATATAATAGTGTGTAAAGGGACATCAGTTTTGTGTATCCTGGTTAACCTGTACATTTGTGCTCACAGTGAGCTGCAAGTATAAACCATATCATGTATAGCACCTGGCAGCACGTTTTGACCTGTCACTAAGAATGGCATGCATTCTGTTGCTGTCGTCACACTTATTGAGGATAACTATTTCCACACCCTTTTATCAGTCTATGATCTGTGTGTCCACATTGGCCTTCAGGCCTTGCAAGCATGCCAGATATTCACATTGCATGTGAAAACTGGACAAATCATTTAGAACTCTGTGATATGCGTGCATGAGCTGAACTAGGCACACATCCATGGAGTCGCTGTTTTCAGTGGACATGAACTGAGGTGGATAACTGTGAGTGGCCGAGTTTGAACTCAGCAAATATCTTTCCATATTTGAGGAATGAAGGCTCACCAAAAGTGAAACCAGGCAGAAGGACAAATTCCTTGGTGTCAAACAGCACATGATCAAAGATTTACTACGTGTTCAGTGGCATTGTCAATTGTGTTGCCAAACCACTTCCATTTCAGTGAGTTTATGATGCGGCTATGTTTTGAAGTGGGGAAATGCTCTGAGTGCAAGACAAAAAGCTTCAAAAAAATGTGTTTTGTTTTAGCAACAGTCAAAATGGTATGGGGAAATTTGTTGGTGCATGATTGCACAGTAGCATGAAATGATTGGTGAAAAACAGGTTTGATTCCACGAGCTGGCATTTGCGTTTCAGTTATCATTGGACTTTGTGTGAGCCCCAGGGTGACAGAGAAGCAATTTAACAAAGCTTTATGTCTGAGTTTGCCTTGTGTCCCCGTATGGTTCTGTGGAATATTTCGACACTTTGACAATTTTGACCGTTCCTTTTGTGCTGTTTTTCAATGGCACCTGGAAACTCAACTGTAAGAATGTGAGAAGTGGAGTGTATTGGGTAATTGCTTTCTGGAAGAGAGGAAGATGAATTTCATTGAGAATACCTGATGGCTGGGATGCATTACAAGTATCATCAACAAATATTTT